AAGTGCCAAATCCAAGAGCAATGCAAATTCCAAAATATGCAAAATTCTAAGGTCCAGGCATGGATACAGAAGTTGTAGCCAGCAACCAAGATATATACTGCAAACCCTTAAGTGCTGTTTTCACAGCTGATCCTGATTGTGGCCTTCTTCTCAGCAACTTGCTGATCTCCTCAGCCCTCTCCATACTTCCACAAAAGAAGGTACAATTAATTCTTCCTCAACCTGCTCAACAGAAACCTCTTGTGTTTAGCCAGCATTCCAAGTAGTAGTTACTTCTGGGTGTGGCTGAGAGAGTTGCTGTTTTTGGCTGGGCTGTAGTTCAGCAGACAAACCCTCATTCAGCAAACCCCCATCCATGCTATCCATGACACCTACTTTGGATGCAGACTGGAAAACCAGGTGTTGAGTGAAGGGACATTATCATTATTAGTATCCCTTATATAGGGGAGACACCATTGTGTCCTTGGTGCAGAGGTGCAGGAATGGCAATAGACCACTAGGGGGGACTGGCAAGCCATACCTCCGAAGGGAACGTTGCAGATTCCAGTCCTCTGACACTTATGTTTCACACCTTTCTGGCAAGGGGATGCAGGGGGCATCATGACCTGGGACTGATAGTAGGTTGTAGGCTACCTCACCTTAGGATGAGCTCACCTCTAGCCAATCACTCTGCCAATGATGTAATCCAACTCACTGTTACTATGCAAGCTTTACAAAGAGCACAAGAAAGATATATAAGCAGCTTGGCTGATCAATAAACTTTGAGATCACCCTCACCCTCCTGACTGCCCATCTTCTTTATCGTCTCCACAGTTGAGGAAAACTTGGGAAATGGCCTCAACCCAGATTTAGTTCCTAAGATATATTAACCTAGGCTTCGATAATTTCCTCAAGAGATAATCCCCTTGAACTCAATGTGATTTGCTTCTGAGGACTATACATGGAAGGAAAGTCTCCTGTCCTATCCTCATCACAAAAGCAAGGTGTGGCTCATTTTATTTTGTTTAGGTACCTTCCATCTCCATTAGGATATGGTGACCAGCTACCCCATGAATAGGTATTGCATGACTCTTCGAATATTGTTAGATTGCGGTTTAAGACAGGCATGTCTTAAACCAGTGGCTCTCAACCTGTGGGTCCCCAGGCATTTTGGCCTACAAGTCCCAGAAATCACAGCCAGTTTACCAGCTGTTGGGATTTCTGGAAGTTGAAGGCCAAAACATCTGGGGAACCACAGGTTGAGAACCACAACAATGATGGAGAATGATGGCAGCTGAACCCTAACTGTACCTAGACAGCTACACAATCTCTATATTTGAACTACATTGGTGAAGGAGGGGACTGAAATCTTTCTGAGGATGTTCTTATCTTAAAATCTAAAGTAAAAACTCCTGCATTTCCATTGATTCAAGGTTGCTATCAGTCTGAAAATACTCTAGCAGAGGTCTACATTTTAATCTTGGAGATCTTGGAGTGCATTCATTAAATGCTTTGTTCTAGTTATCATCCAGAGTAACAAGCATCCTGAGCATCTCTGTGTTAACATTTGGAATCAGTGGCCGAAGGCAAGAAATGTTTTCTACTCTACATCTTGTTTTAAATGCTTCATTTGAATCCTTAGGAGGGTAACAGCTTCTATCCATCGCTTTTCTCTGACTAGGGATTGTTTCAGAATAATTCCATCTCTAATATTTCCTTTTCTGAATGAACAGTCTTATACAACATGTATACATAATCTTGAAATAGTACTTATATCCCAAGTTTTTAAAACTGTGTTTAGCTGAAGATTTAAGAGATTTACACATTCATTCATGCTAAGATGCCACATGAAGCCAGTAACAACTATTACATTTTAAACCCTGCCTGAAAAATTCAGAGATTTCAAAAAATCTTATAAGGTAAACAGTTTTTACATTAAACTGCCAGCGTAGTACTTGTATCCTGAATGGTAGCAGCTCCATAGATCTTTACCATCACTCTGTGGCAAGCACAGGGATTGAACCCAGGATCTTCAGCATCCAAACCACATGCTCTGCCACTGACCTGATTTATCAGCTCAACCACATTGACCCCCAAGTATATCCTGCCATCATTTGGGACTCAATGCATGCTGAGAGCTCTAAGGTACTGGGGAAACCTGATTTATGGTAATGTTATAAACGCAAGAGAACACAGTGTATTCAACAAGTCAAAAGTAATAAGCTCACTAAATGAAATATTGTACTGGGAGGAACAGCTTCCTTATTTCAATAGAAATTTAGCAGTTGTGACATTTTTTAAAAAATGCCTGTACATTCATTCATGTCTTTTAAGATATAAAGGGGAGTGTAGCCTAAGATACACATATTTCTGATGGTCTCAGGAAGCCCTTTGGCATAGTCATTTGGGTTCACAATGCTCTCTGGATGTAGGTGAAATACATCTCCCCTAAATCATGGTCAATTCATCCCAAATCTTTCCAGTATTTTCTGTTGGTCATGGGGGTTCTGTGTGGGAAGTTTGGCCCAATTCTATCCTCACTGATTGTAGGTGAACTATAAATCCCAGCAACTACAACTCCCAAATGGCAAGGTCTATTTCCCCCAAACTCCACCAGTGTTCACATTTGGGCCTATTGAGTATTCATGCCAAGTCTGGTCCAGATCCATAATTGTTTGAGTCCACAGTATTCTCTGGATGTAGGTGAACACCAAAATTTAAGGTCAATGTCCAACAAATCCTTTCGGTATTTCCTGTCATGGGAGTTCTGTGTGTCAACATTGGTTCAATTCCGTTGTTGGTGGAGTTCAGGATGCTATATTATTGTAGGTGAACTATAAATCCCAGCAACTACAACTCCCAAATGACAACATCAATCCTCCCCCCAACCCCACCAGTATTCAAATTTGGGCGTATCAGGTATTTGTGCCAAATTTGGTCCAGTGAATGAAAATACATCCCGCATATCAGAAATTTACATTACGATTCATAACAGCAGCAAAATTACAGTTATGAAGCAGCAACAAAAATAATTTTATGGCTGTGGGTCACCGCAACATGAGGAATGGTATTAAGGAGTTGTGACACTAGGAAGGTTGAGAAACACTGGTCTAATCTAACATTATAACCACTACATCGTGATCCTAAAAAAGCAATTAAAAAGAAAGATACAAACAGACAGCACCCTGTGCAGCTATAGTTTGTTTTATGATGTAACTGATTTTTTTTTTTTTTTGGTGAAAGCTGATAATTGTACAGCTGCTGGCTCTTTTATTGTCCTAATGTGAACAACAGAAACCTGATTAAATCTCTTTGATGATGTAGCTTATCATTTTTAAATGTCTGACAGCATGAAAGGATTAATATCATTTCCTCAAGGCTGCATCAGCCAGGTTACTTATCTATATCTAGTGGATTGCAGATTCCCTTGCTTTGTTTTCATGGTGTTAAAGTGCAAACTCTTTTGTGGATTAAATAGCTTCACTACAATGCCGGCATTTCTGGATAAAACTAAAATATATGTACATTTAAGATGATCTGGACATTTGCTGCTAGTTTATGCTTTCATTTTCTTTAATCAGCTAGAGAAATTACTTTTTTAAAAAATCACGGCTTCCAGAATCCACCAGTCAGCAAAAATATTGGCTGAGGACCAAACAAGTAGCTTCTCTGAGTTCTATCTTTATTGTAGAGCTAAATAACATATCAAGTCATTAACTAGCATCACCAAATCATAGTTTATGAAGTCATGGATAATCGTATGAATGAAGTAAGAGTAGATGGATGAACGCTGGGGGTTAATACTCTGACATTGGATTGCTTATATTTACAGATACAATCACTTCTTGAAAGTATAGTAAAATATTGTGTTACAAACATGTGTAAGGGACAACATCTATAATCTATCACACACTTAGACCTTGCCTAAACATGCCTCTACTTATCTGCACAAATACAACAATAATTCTTATTAGTACACTTTTTAAAAAGACAGTAGCTTTGGAGCTGGCAGCCAATGATAATTTACTAGCTATCTGTATTTTGCTAGCTGGCATCCCCCCCCCCCCCGGCAATGTGTGACAGGAAGTTGCTGCTGAGAGAGAAATAAAGTTGAACACTGTGAAAGCCACTCACTGCATGGCTATCAGCCTCCTCTCAGTAGACTCAAATCAAGGAAAAGCTTCATGAGAACCATCACCCCTCTTAATGTTCCCCCAGCAACAGCAAGAATATCCCTCTGAGCAGCTAAACCAGGAAATCCCAACTGGATGGCCCTCCATGAGGGTCTTCCTCCAGGGGGAAACCAAGAAGATTGACTCAGGGGGTGCTGTAGTTTTTAACTTTGAATATGTTTTGGTGGATTTTAACTGTGATTTTTTTACTGCTGTTTGTCTTTAATTCTGTTTTAATGTTTGTATATTTGTATATTTTAAAATGTATACTAATGCTTTTATGTCAAGTCGCTTTGAGTCACCTTTGCGGAGATAAAACAGGGTATAAATAAATATATTAACTCCCTACTACACAGGGACACACAATCAAAGCACCCTGACAGATGGCCATCCACCCTCTGCTTAAAAACCTCCAGAGATTGACACTCCATCGCACTCCGAAACATCAGGGAGGTCTTCCTAATGATTAGGTGAGATATTTTTCCCTGCAATTTAAATCCATTGCTCCATGTCCTCATATTTCTTTTTTTCCTAATACAGCTACTGCTTTGAAAATGGTTATGACCACATGCAGATATGTGAAAAGAAAAACCAGAAGACAATGAAGTTTGCCCAAATTTTGGCAAATTGTGTTTTATACCAGATGAAGTATCTCCAAAGAAAGTAATCATTCCCAAAAAGCGCTTAAACTGGTATGTGTCCTATGTGGAGCTTCACCAAAGTAAAGTTTCTGTAAGTAGTACTTCTGCATAATATATGGTTGTGTGTCCATCTCCAGAATAAAGATGCCATGCCCATTACACCAAGATACATTTGTACAGAGAGATATAATTTGTAAGGAGGTCCTACCCAAAATCGCAACAACTTCATCATCTTGGATGACTTCCAAAGATCCTGAGACCACAAAGCAAAGATTGTCCACACTCTCTCCGGCATGATAAATGAGGTCCCCGGGGGCACAGTGCACAGTCTGAAATTCCATAGCAAGAGCTCGCAAACACCCATCGCTAGCCAGCCTGAAAGCAGGGTGCTCTTTAAAAACCTTCCGATTCAGATGAACACAGATATCCGCTCTCATGTCCTTGGGGCAGATCTGTAAAACCTAAAATAACATTATCAGATTAGATCATTGCTGGCAAGATGTATGAACACTACATCCCCTTTGCACCTCTTCATCCAAGATACAGATAGGATATTTGTTTAAATCTTTTGTAGTTTGTTCTAATTATGCAGATAAAGTTTAAGATCAGAGTTTCTGTTTACTTACATCTAGTGTTTATGAACCCATACAAGGACATATGAATGTCATAATTCTCACATTCTGGCACAAAAATAAAAATTGAGATCAGTCACACAAAATACAAGTAAACAGAAACTGTGATATTAAACTCTCTAGAGCAGAGCTTTCCGGGACACTAATGTGTTGCCTGTAGTCCCTAGGTCCAGTGAATGAAAATACATCCCGCATAGGTGTGTTGCATGAACAATGCCTCTCACCCCAGTAAAAAGAGGCTGGTGCTATTCAAGTGTAGGTACTTTCATAATTTATACAATTTGTTGGTTGCATTGCAGTCACTGCAATTAAAATGGATATGTTTCTAATTAAGAAAAGAAAGTCTATTGACATTGATGTTAATGATGAGCCACATGGAGCAGCTATAGAGAAAACTTCACAAGAATCAACAGTAGTACATAAGTCTAAAGGAAAACATCCTAAAGGGCCAAGCTTTAGCACAGCTAGTTAATCACCAGCAGCAATACATCTTACCAATCAAAAGGTTTGAAGCCCTGGTTAGGGTGAGCACCTGATCTTCAACACAGCTTACTGTCCACCTAAGTAGTTTGAAAACATCTGTGAGTAGAGAAATTAGGCACCACTTAAGTGGGGAGATATTTTATAGCATCATAAAATACTGGAAAAATGCCAGTGATCAAAAGAAGGAGAAAGTTTGTGATCAAACGTCTTTGTCATAGAAGATGGAGTGACAGTGCCCTCCTGTGGCCAGAATCGAGCACGACCTATAGGACGCCGAAGCTGACGTAATACCTCTATCTGTTGTCCGTCCTGTCTGTTTAATGGTATTGAATGTTTGCCATGTATATATTCTGTGATCCATCCTGAGCCCCCTTCATGGTGAGAAGGGCAGAATATAAATACTATAAATAAAATAAATAAATAACCTCATTTATATAACAAAGATTATATGAAACTTATATATATATTGTATGAAACTATTATAAAGGGCCTGTTTAACCAGTTTGACAGTAAAACTGAATACCGTGTCATGAAAGGATACATGCCTAAAAAGCGTGTCGTCAACATGAAAAGTTTGGAAAGCTCTGCTCTCGAGCAATTTACAAAAGGCACAAAATTACTTAATTTAGCACTAATGCAAATGAAAACTACTAAACACACAACAAGCAATAACTGTGTAAAACACAAAAGAACACATATACAATAAATCTGGAGAGACTCAATGTAAGTAAAATTATTAAAAAGGCACAAATGTTGCATAGCTAATAAGCCGCCTTGAGTCGCCTTCAGGCTGAGAAAGGCGGCATAGAACTGCAGTAAATAAATAAATAAATAAAACTAACAAAACCAAGATTATACACTCATTTATTTATTTATTTATTTGCGGCATTTCTATCCCGCCTTTCTCCAACTCGGAGGCGACTCAAGGCAGCTTTACAACCAGGCAACCATTCGATGCCTTCAACAATGTGCAACAAAAAAATTCATTTAAAAACAGACTTAGAAATACATACATTAAAACATTTTAAAACACATAAAAACAGTAAATTCACTGTTACCCTCGTTGTCCAAAGTCATAGTCAGAGCCATTCCAATATTCAATTACATATAGTTCCATGTTTATCTATTGCACTAGATTTCCAAAGACTTGATCACAAAGCCATGCTTTCACTTTCTTATGGAAGGTGAGAAGGGAGGGGGCTGATCTAATATCCCTATAGTAGGAGTTCCACAGTCAAGGGGCCACCAGTACTCTCAAAACGATTTTATTATTAGCTAGAACAGATATTACTACTTGAAAGCTTCTAAAATGTATTCTAGGAGTTTATTATGCTTGCAAGTGGAAGTTATCAATTACCTATCTACTCCAATTATATTTGTATGCTCTTGAACAATTAACTAGATCTTGGTTTTCTTTTAGGGCCCATCCAGACATCCCTTTAGAAGCATGAACTCCCACATTTTGACATGTGGCAAGCAATTGCATTTGCCACAAAGCAAGAAAATCCTGCTTGGCAGCAAATTAATTTGATAGTGGGTTTGATCCGCGCCTTCTTGAAAGGCATGCATGAAACCACTATGGCTGGACTGCTTCCTGAACTTCTGAGAGGGTGGTACAGACAGCCCTATCGTGTTTTCCAGGCTGATTCAGCCTGGAAAACCATGAGGGCACCAAGCCCTCCCGCAATCCCCTCCCAAAAAACTTTTAAAAATAAAATAATTTATGAGGCCAGCATTTTCCTGCTGCCAGCCCTCTCTTGACACATAGAAATGATGCGCCAGGACTTTTCTGCTGTCTGGAACCACCCTTAGAGACCTGGTTTCTACAGGATTAATTCCTGTTTCTGTTTCTTGCCCCCTCCATTTTGTTTAGACAAGCATATGGCTGATTTCTCAAAAATCAGTTCTTGCTTCTGAATTTGGAATCTGCTCTGTCTTCATAAAATAACCTGAAGCATCTCCAAACACCTAGAGACCACGTAGAGCATCATTATAATTAGTATCAATGGTTAAGTGCCCACAAGGAATAGTGGAAGCTTATCATTGCAACTTTGGAGGTGATTGCAACAGAGAATTGCCGAGGGCAGCAAGGTTTGGAGATAGAAGAACAGTAACAAAGGCTGCTTGACCCTGAACCTCCTACACCGTACTCTCAATATTAAAGTGTTTTTTGAAAGTGCTTCAATGTTAAGATGACACTACAGTTTAATTGCCCAGAAGGAAGAAAAAAACTTCACGTAGATATTGAACTTTTACAATAATATTCAAAGGTTGTTAAAGGCTGTAAATCAAGACCAATCTCTCATATTTAAAAAGACGTATTTAATTACACATGCTCAGACAAATACTTGAACTATTTCAAATGTTCAGAAGGGTCTCACCAATGGAGCACATGCCCTTTGGAGTAAAATTAAATAGAATTCAAAAAGGACTATTGGCATCTACAATTATTACAGTAAAGAAAAACCTTTTATTCACATGGATTGCAGTTGAAATTTCACAATAAATCTTGACTTCTTCCAATTCAGCTGCCAATTTTAAATATATTGGGGCAAAATATCTTGGGGTTTTTTTTTCAATGTGGAAGAGAACTACATTACTTTCAGGATGGCATGTGAGAGGCAATCCTACAAGCTCTTCAACGGTATATTGAGCAGATTTCCAACTCACTTCCAATGTGCCCCTAGATATATGTCTAGACATTAGATGTCAATTTTCTGCTGTCAGTGCAACTGCAGAGGTTTTAACTAGAATCTCTGACATATCAAACCTATTTACTCCTAAGATATGTTCATAGATGTTTCTTTAAAAATTGAGAATTTGTTTATTTACCATATTTATACCCTGCCCTCCTTAACCCAAATGGGACTCAGAGCGGCATTTACACATAGACAACAATTCAATGCCATAGAAACAACATAATTAAAATAAACATTTACATTAAAACCAAAGAATTGAAACACCTAAACATTACACCAATTATTAAAACCACACAGTCCAAGATCGTAATCCAAAGCCATTCCAGTTGTCGTTGCACATATTACATAGCCATTTATTGTACTACAATTACTATCTGAAGGCTTGGTCCCATAGTCATGTTTTTACTTCCTTTCTGAAGGTCAGGAGGGAAGGGGCTGATCTAATTTCACTGGGGAGGGAGTTCCACAGCTGAGGGGCCAGCACTGAGAAGGTCCTGTCTCTTGGCCCCATCAAAAGTGTATCAGGGGCTATTCACATTGCAGAATTACAGTGCTATTATTCTACTTTAACTTGCATATTTCAGATCTATCATATCCTGGAATTTGCAGTTTAGGGAGAGGAACTTAGCATTCTCAGCCAAAGTTCTTTACTGTCTCACCAAACTACAAACCCCAGGATTCCATGAGATAGAGTCAAGGCAGTTAAAGAGGAATAGTAACACTACAATTCCATAGTATGACAGGGTAAATAATATCTTTTAAACTGATCTTTTCTTGATCTTAATTTGTCTGAGTCTTTCTTTTCTGTTAAAAAAAGGAGCAAACATCCTCATATGAACAAACAATATACTATGTGGGAAGTGATAAATTCGTGTAAGACAAATGAATGGATAGGTCACCTGGTTCATTTCTGTATCTTGGCTCCACATGTAAAAAAATATATCTGCAGAACCATTACTTTAGACACAACTTGGCTCCAGCAATTCTAATTTCTCTGTGAACTCTGTACCCCATCAAGCAGGTGAAAATAAAACTGTAGTGATGGCAGAGGCTAGGGATACATTCACCTTCAATATACTTGCTTAGAGGGGTGTATGACATTACGCACAACGGTACTAACAGCAAAGCGGACATGTCGGCGCTTTGCATGATTTATTCATGTGACAATATTTGTGAAGTTTTGTATGCATGGGAAGTCAGTGAAGCTTGAGAACTGAACTTGAAGATTTATGCACTGGTACTCAATCTTATATTTGTTATCCTCTCCTATCAGCACTACAGGGTTTCCCTACTACCAGCAGATACATTCCACTGCAAGTGATGCAAATGCATCAATTACAGAAATCTATCAGAATGTATCTTCTGCATATTCTAATAATGAAAGGTTTTGCATATTTATTAAACCACTTTATCATAGTAAAAGTACACCAGATGTATGAACTGTCTGCATTAAAAAAAAAGCACAACACACCTTTGGGGCAACAGATAAAATAATGTATTCAAATTTTTAAATTTAAACTCCCAAGGCAACTACTGAACAATCTCTAAATAAATATACCAACAAAATGTGTTAAAGGAAGCTTAAGAAACAGTTGAAGTCAACATGAAATTTGGGGATTTTACTACAACCCCAAGAATCCCCCAGAAATAATGTGGAAAATTACTCTGGGGATATAATGGGCAGGTAATTATGTATGTTGCCCTCAACATTTCTCAGAAGATGAGATGAATCAAAATGTAACCAGTTGTATTTTGATATAAAGCAAGAACGGGCAACTAAAATGAGCTGGTAGCCGCTTTGAGTCCTCTTCAGGGGAGATAAATTGAGATATTATTATTATTATTATTATTATTATTATTATTATTATTAGGTAGCCAGGCACTTTTGTGCCCCTTTCACTCTATAGTTATATCATTATGATTCCATTCAACTACTATAGACACATCCCATGGAAGCACTGGAGCTCCCTGGTTAAGAGCTCAAAATACAGTGAGACCTTGACTTACAAGTGAACCAACTTATGAGTTTTTGAGATACGAGCCTTTGCTCAGTCAATTTTCAGTTTTGACATGCAAGTCGAGATTTGAGCTCTGAGCCAATATGAGAGCTAGAGTAAAAATACATCACCCAACATCTTTCTCTCTTTTTCCCTTCTTGATCAAAACAAGCAGCCTTTTAGCCGCCATCTGGGCACACTGTTGAGTGGGTTTTGGGCAGAGGATCTAACAGATAGTGGAAAAGCTATAGGTGAACCTTGCTCTTTCTGTGTGTCTCTGCCTTTCCTTCCTTCCTCTCCTTCCACTCCAGTCTTTGGAGAACCATCGTGCCTGACCGGACAGTAAGCAGGAGCAGAAGCTGCCACCACTTGGGATGTTCAAGTTGGTTGTATAGCCCATTTTAACTAGTAGTTACTGCTGCATTTTTATTGAGCGCCTTGTTTAAATTGAGTTGCATGTCTTGTTAATTTCTCTAAGTATTGTTTTATGTTAATTAATGTTGCTATCAATATTTATAAATGCTGATCTACTGTATTTTATGTGTTTTGTGTGGCACCATCATGTGCTGCTCTGTAAGCCGCCCCGAGTCCCATTTGAGAGATGGTGGCAGGATATAAATAAAGTTATGATTATTATTGTACGGCAGAAGGCAATCCTGTAAGTAACCTGGATCCAAACCATGTAGGGCTTTAAAGGTCAAAACCAACAACTTGTACATTGCCTGAAAGCTCATTGGCAGCCAGTGGAGTGAGTTTAGTATAGGTGCAATCTGGCTATTGTATTTTGAAGCAACTGGAGTTTCTGAACTGGGTACAAAGGTATTCTGGATTGATTTTCAAATTGTTTTTCCACATCCAGCCCATTACCTCCTTAAGGCATTCATTTAGAGGAAGCTCACTATTCTTAGCTGAAGCTGTTTTTGAAGGCATTAAGAAATATATTTGGGTGTTGTCAGCATATTGCTAACACCATTCCATGCCTCCGGATGATGCCTCCCAGCAGTTTCATGTAAATCTTTAAAAGCATCAGGAATAGAATGGAACCTTGTGGGATGCCATATAACAGCTCCTTTTTTTTTGAAGAGGAGTTTATCCACAAGTGTCACCCTCTGGAACCTGACTCTACTCCGCAGCTCCTGGAAAAGCTTTTCCACTCCCATACTCTCTCACACACACACTGCTCCCACCCCTCTGGACCCATCTTCCCTGGTGAATGAAAGAGGGAAAGGGAGAGAGAAGAAGAGAGAGGGAGAGGCCGAGGAGATGTCCACACATGGGGCATTTCACCTTATAGGCTCCCCGGGAGTCTTTTTTCTGCATGTTTGCTGCTGTCCACCTTCCGGTCATGGAAACTTCCTTAATTTCTCCCTCTTCCTCTTCCTCCTCCTCGAGAAGGCATTGCCCCCCCCCCCACAGTGCCTTTCCTTTGCCTAAATTGCCTTCCGAGAAGGGTCACTTCTTTCCTCCCTCCTCCCTCCTTCTCTCTGTCTTTCCTTCCCTGAGTAAGGAACTGGAAAAAAAACTACCTCTGAGATGTCCTTGCCTACAAAAACCCAATTAAATCCATTATTAGGTTTACAGAAGCTCAGGGCTGCAGAAAGCACTACCAGCTATGTATAAATCACACTGAAAAGCAATTTGATGGCAGGTTCCCGATATCAGGACAGGTTACCTTTTCTGTATCGATGCCCCTGGACATTGACCAAGTAGAAACGATGTAGTCCATCACACGTTCGCTCAAGCCTTTGGGTACTTGGTAGAGTTTCAGGAAGTCTCGGACACTGTTCAGCATTTCATGGTATCTGTTCGTATTAGCGTACATTTGCTGGAAGATAGTTGTCACGTTACCAAAAATCGTTGCATATAGCAGAGCTGGAAACAAAAGAAAAGGGAAACAAAGAATAAAGGTTGCACTTTCTAAAGTCTTAAGAAGCAGGAAGATTGAGAAGTATATCTGTAGAAGTATATCTGTACTTGATACAGAAAATGAACTGTTGTGGAGAAGGAAACAGTAGCAATTTCCTGATTAACAAATCATGTTAATCATTACAAACTGAGGCATTAATACTACTTATTGCATTTGAGTTCTTTCCAAATAAATGTGAATACGCATCCTTTGGCATAAATTCTCTTCTTGCAATTAAGGAATGCCAGATCCACTTCAGCTGTCATTCTATGAATCACTGGATGATTGAGTTATTACAGAGCTCACCTTACAAACCTGGAGGCTGTTTATTTGAGATTTGTTCAGTTTCACACTGAATGACTTCCTTGAGTCCACCAAACTGTAAATTGTCATAAAAATACCTTCAGCTGCAGAATCCAAACGGATTTGTTTTTTATACCACCAAAAGTTATCAATAATTCTGAATAACTATTGCAGGGTTTGCCCACTTACCCTCATAGTAAACTGAATATTTCCTGAATGGTCTGGTTTTAGTGACAGCTAGAATTTCGTTTGCACAGTTAGGGCTTGAACACCAGATGCACCACACCCTGAGACATCAGATCTGGCCATGGTGACACGTCTTAGTTACAGCCTATCTGGATTATTATAATGGGCTCAATGTGGGACTAGCTTTGAAAAGTGTCCAAACTTTAACTGTCAGTGGGTTGCTGTGAGTTTTCTGGGTGTGTATGGCCATGTTACAGAAGCATTCTCTCCTGATATTTCACCCACTTCTATGGCAGGCATCCTCAGAGATTGTGAGGTATATTGGAAACTAAGCAAGAGAGATTTATATATCTGTGAAAGTTCCCAGGTGGGAGAAATAACTCTTGTCTGTTGGAGGCAAGTGTGAATTAAACAGCTTTGAGGCCTGGCTGATTGCTGCCTGGGGAATCCTTTGTTGGCAGGTATTAGCTGCCCCTGATTGTTTCATGTCTGGATTTCCATTGTTTTCAGAGTGTTGTTCGTATTTACTGTCCTAATTTCAGAGTTTTTAAATACTGGTAGCCAATTTCAATCAGATTTTTAATTGGGGTTGGCTACACACAACTCCCTTGTTGGAACAGCTCCATTAACAGAACATATATGCTTGCTGTGCTTGCTGTGAAGGGGCAATAAAGATCTCCAGCCTGCTCCCAGGACTCCTTGTGAGTAGCCAGCAGCCCAGGCCTCCTCCAGTGGGGTCTGACTCAGCAACTGCAAGGAGGCCTCTACTTCTATAAAGCTGAGCCCACAGGCCTGCCAGGGACTGAGTCTGCTGTGCTTGCTGTGAAGGGGCAATAAAGATCTCCAGCCTGCTCCCAGGACTCCTTGCGAGTAGCCAGCAGCCCAGGCCTCCTCCAGTGGGGTGTGACTCAGCAATCTGCAAGGAGGCCTCCACAGACTGCCTAATTGTGTGTTGACCAATTAACCAATTAACCATCTTCTGTGCCGACTGTTTGTGTTGTTCAATTTGTTGTGGAGAATGCTGTGTTGTCCAACTCAGGCTGCCTGACGTGTGTTGACCAGTTAATCATCTACTGTAATCCACCTCCCGGAAGATTGCGCTGACCACCTCGAGACCTGATTGGGCGGACCATCTTATGACCACCTTATGTCCCAATTATCGTCACCTTACGACCCAACTATCGTCATCTTTGGGCATCTCGCTGTTCTAATTTTTTAGATATACTGTGATGAACGTCGTCAATTTTACGTGTTGACCTTGACTTTGCAGTCCTTTCATTTATGTGGATCATCTCCGACTATACCATTGTCTTTAATTGTGTCGATTTTCTATCTGTGCTGACCTTTTGCGATTGTGCTGATTTTTTGTGATTGTGTTGACCATCTTGATTGTGTAACCATCTTTTTCAAATGTGCTTATCAACCTTAGGGTGGTGAGGCGGGGTACCTCATCGTTGGTGTGATTTTAGCACTTTATTCTATTAGCACTTTAATTATTACCTTTGTGGCACTTTAACTATCCTTAGCACTTTAATCGACTTAATCCTAGTAGCGTTGATCCAACCCTCCATGACGCACTTCATTTAGCACTTTAGAGCTAACTAACTAGCCGCTTATTTAATTGTTCATACCATCGTGTTGTTGTGTATGCGTATGTTGAGATAATTGTTTTTGCACTTTAAGAGCTCCAACGAACTCTCGACTGTGGTTACAGCTATTATCCATGTTACTATTTATTCCTTGGCAAGTGCTAATTGGGCTGCTAATTGTTTTTGGTGGAGAAAGAGAAAGGAGCAGCCCAGAAGGACATGAGTATAACATAATAGGAACAAGAAACAACTGGAAGACGAAGCCATGGCAATCTGAAGCTGTAGTATATCAAACAGTCAATAATGAATTATGGGTTGTTATCACGACTGTTAAAGGCGTCATGGAGGAGGGAGAGGCTTCCATTAACCGGGGAGCCCCCATAGAAGTCGTGGTGGGGAGGGGGAGATACGGGAAAGGGAGACCTTTAATTCGGCCTAGGGAACGTGGAACAACATTAGTAATCCCAAAGCGGTCTCCTGATACGGTAAGTTGGTGTAACCAGGATGGCGGTCCCTCTGGGTTGAAGGTGGTGCTGTTGAACGCCAGATCTGTCAATGGTAAAACAACTTTCATCCAAGATTTAATCCTGGATGAACGGGCAGATCTGGCGTGCATCACAGAGACCTGGCTGGACGAAGCGGGAGGTGTAAATTTGACCCAGCTTTGTCCACCCGGGTTCTCTGTGCAGCACCAACCGAGATCCGGAGGGCGGGGAGGCGGGGTTGCAGTGGTCTATAGAGATTCCATTCTTCTGACCAGGGCCCCCATCCCGCAGTCAACAAATTTTGAATGCGTCCACCTGAGGGTGGGTGACCGGGACAGATTAGGGATTCTGTTAGTGTACCGCCCACCTCGCTGCACTACAGTCTCCCTACCTGAGCTAGCGGGGGTGGTCTCGGACCTGGCATTGGAGTCCCAACGGCTGCTTGTGCTGGGGGACTTCAATGTCCACGCCGAGGCTGCCCTAACGGGAGCGGCTCAGGACTTCATGTCTACCATGGCGACCATGGGGCTGTCCCAACAAGTATCTGGCCCCACCCACAGTGCTGGACATACATTGGACTTGGTTTTCTGCCAGGGATGGGAGGAAGGTGGCGGTGTTGAGGAGTTATCCATCTCTCCGTTGCCATGGACCGACCACCACCTGGTCAGCTTTAGACTCACTGCACCCCCTAACCTCCGCAGAGGTGGAGGACCTATTAAATTGGTCCGCCCCAGGAGGCTTATGGATCCGGAGGGATTCCTGATGGCTCTTGGGGAATTTCCCGCCACCTCGGTTGGTGATCCTGTTGATGCCCTGGTCGCTCTCTGGAATGGGGAGATGACTAGGGCAATAGACACGATCGCTCCAGAACGTCCCCTCTCAAGTAGCCGAACAAAACCAGCCCCTTGGTTTACTGAGGAGCTGGCAGCGTTGAAGCAAAAGAAGAGGGAACTAGAGGGCGTGTGGCGTTCGGATCCGAGCGAGCCAAATCGAACACGGTTTGTGTCCTTTTTAAGGGCATATGCCGCGGCAATAAAAGCCGCAAAGAAAACTTTCTTCGCGGCCACTATTGCGTCTGCAAAGAACCGTCCGGCCGAACTGTTCCGAGTTGTCAGAGGCCTATTAAAACCCGCCACTCAGGATGGGTGCCCTGATGACTCGGCAGCTCGCTGTGAAGCCTTTGCTCAGTTCTTTGCAGACAAAGTCGCTTGATCCGCTCTGGACTGGACACCATATTAACGGCAGTCTCTGAGGATGTAACACGAGCATCACCATTCTACATTTGATGGATTCATTTCAATTGGTTCAATCCGAGGATGTGGACAAGGTGCTTGGAGGAATGAGAGCTACCACATGCATCCTAGACCCCTGCCCATCCTGGCTTCTAAAGGAGGCCAGAGGGGGATTGGCCGAGTGGGTGAAGGTGGTGGTTAATGCCTCCCTTCGGGAAGGCATATTTCCAGCCAGCTTAAAGCAAGCTGTGATAAAACCGCTGTTGAAGAAACCATCACTGGACCCCACTCAATTCGTCAACTATCGGCCTGTTTCCAATCTCCCCTTCTTGGGCAAAGTCATGGAACGTGTGGTGGCCTCACAACTCCAGGCATTCTTGGTAGACACGGATTATCTGGATCCGGCACAGTCTGGCTTTAGGCCGGGGCATGGTACCGAGACAGCCTTGGTCGCCTTAGTGGATGATCTCCGTCGGGAGCTCGACAGGGGGAGTGTGTCCCTGTTGGTGCTACTCGACCTCTCAGCGGCCTTCGATACCGTCGACCACGGTATCCTTCTGGGACGCCTCGCGGGAATGGGTCTCGGAGGTACTGCTTTGCAGTGGCTCCGGTCATTCCTCGAGGGTCGGTCTCAGAAGGTGTTACTGGGGGACTCCTGTTCTACCCCACAACCTTTGTATTGTGGGGTTCCTCAGGGTTCAATACTGTCCCCCATGTTGTTTAACATATACATGAAGCCGCTGGGCGAGATCATCCGGAGTTTCGGGGTGCGGTGTCATCTGTACGCAGATGATGTCCAACTCTGTCACTCCTTCCCACCTGCTACTAAGGAGGCTGTCGAGGTCCTGAACCGGTGCTTGGCGCTGTGATGGTCTGGATGAGGGCGAACAAATTGAAATTGAATCCAGACAAGACAGAGGTACTCCTGGTCAGTCGTAAGACCGAACAGGGTATGGGGTTACAACCTGTGTTGGATGGGGTCGCACTCCCCCTGAAGACACAGGTTCGCAGTTTGGGTGTGATCTTGGATTCAGCGCTGAGCCTGGACCCCCAGGTTTCGGCGGTGACCAGGGGAGCATTCGCACAGTTAAGACTCGTGCGCCAACTGCGACCGTACCTTGGGAAGTCTGACTTGGCCACGGTAGTCCACGCTCTGGTTACATCCCGCCTT